GTGAACTAATTCTATTCTCCCAGCTGAGCGAAAGTGGACAAACTGCTGATGAACCCGACCTCAGATGATAGACAGTGCCGCCAGTGCTGCTCCATTGTTTGACTTCAGGGGTTTCTCGCCCCACATGTTAACTAGAAGCATACAGTACCCTGCAGTTAAACCTGTTTTCTTCATTACCACATTAAGACTACCAAGGGTACCACATATTACCATCTGAATACCTTTTTGGATCCCTAAACGATAGATACCATGGCGAGTTTCCACCTGGAATTGTGAATGTTATTGCAAACTAACTGACAACACAATGGTGTTTATACAGGGATTGCCTTTAATAAATTTGGGCAAAGAAAGAGCAAACATTGGTACAGAATTACACGGATCCACTTCATTTCATTGGTCCTCATCATCTGCACACAACCCGTAATCTTTCAAAAAGTAAGTGAGTTTGAAATTTTAACATATTTTTGTCCGTTAACAGGCATATTGGAAGAGTGTCATAGTGAGATAAAACATCAGGAGTATTTCGTTAGAAAAAAGTTTCTAGAAAATTAATTGACAACTTTGTTGTTAGTGTGGTAACAAAAATTAGTGACAGTTACGCAGTCGGCTAAGAGAAGATCAAAATTTGATATGCAAGAAGTCAGATGAAAAGATGATGATGCAATATCATAAGTTCAAGTACAATTATCTCTTGTAGACGTCAAACGTTAAAACCGGAGGAGCTGGGTTGAAAAGATAAGTTTATGAAGTTAGAAAAAAAAGAGTTATTATGCGATGACTCTCCAGGGCAACTGAAGTCCAAAGACAGATTCTTTTTGAACACCTAGGTCAGGTTTCAGCTGCTTTATTGTGATGGCCTCAAGAAATCGAAGAAGATTCGAGTTATTTGGTTTGCTAATTATTTTGAATGATGCCAGTGCATCCACTTGTTGTCCTGTGGCTATCAAGTGCATGGCTATTGAAGGGCCTAGACTGTTCCACCCCTTCAACTGGAAGCTCTTTGACGCACCTCCGAAGAATCTGATGTAGGCCTTTCTTCCCGTTCTTCCGGTCTAACTGCTCTCACAGATACTTGTGAACTGGTATACACATCCGGAGGTAACATATAAAGCGTACTTTGTGATCTTTGACTGCACCAACAAGGATGATGTTCGGAGCACAGCGACTAGTTTCACCGCAAGATACCTCCTGGACAGGGCTTCACTTTATCTTTTATTTATGACTCTCATAACATCATCTTCTTTGAAGTCGAGTCCGATGAAAACTGGCTTCTTGCTGACCGTAGCTTCATCAGGTTTCTTGAAGCCTTGTGGATAACCATCTCCTTTCAAGCATTTCTCAAACAACATTAGCTCACTATCTAATTTGCCAAGTGAATATACATATTCTTTTGGTTTTTAGAGAAAAGCATTTCCATCAGCCTTGATTTTGTTACTGACTGGGATTTATTTACCCAGTAAAACTCTTGCAAGCCTTTAGAAACTTAGACAGAAGCACGAATTGCAGTCTATTAATACTTATCTCTCTCACAAAATCTAAAATTCCCCGACTTGATTTATCATATATAAAAAAAGGAACATTATTTTGTCATCATCATCATCATCATCGAATTTTTACAATGCATTTTTTGAAATTTTTTCTAGTTTATCTTCTCAATATTCTATAATACGAAAACCGCAATTTTCCAAGTTTATCCGATGAAAATTATCTCAAAGCCTTATTAGCTTTTCACATTCAGTCTAAACTGGATAGAATGCCTAGATAAAATCTTAAACTTAATCTTCTTAAATATGAAAAGATGAATACATATATAGAGAGAGCGAGAGATTAGAAGTGTGGCGAAAAGTTGTTTTTGCTTGTGTGTGTGTGTGTGTGAGACACACAAAGAATTGGGAAATGGTGAAAATTCAAGGAGAAAAAAGGAGAAGAAGTAAAGTTTTGATAATCCCTTCTAACCTTTCAAATTTCCTATTACGCGGTGAAATAATACTAATAACAAAAATAATCATCCACAATTAAATGCTTGAAACAAACAAAGAACAGTCACGTGAAGAAGATTAATGTTGGCGAAACGGGAAAACTACAAAAGAGATTTATATACTACTAATATTAAGTGTTAGTAGTGTCTTCAGTGTTTGAAGTTAGATTTTTTTCGGGAAAAGGCATAAATTAGAGAATAATTATTGTAAAACAGGGACCTTTCTAGTTTGGAGTCGGTCATCGATACGCATTCATGACCTAAAAAGTGGGTTCGAATCCATGACATTCTATTTTAAAACAAGCAATAAAGGTTAATAAAGCATAGGCTTGTGCAATTCGAGTTTACAAACCAGGTCTCTGTGTACAAAAGGAGATGGTCGTGACTCTGAATCTACCATGGTAATAGGTTTTACTTATCATCCTACCTCTTATTATTATTATCATTATTATTCTTGATTCATTTAAAACTATCCTTTATCAGTAGTATTATTTTAACTCACTTCAACACTATTATTATTATTATTGTCATTATAACTATTACTATTGATATTACTCTGTTTGCAATTCTTGTTATATTCTCTAATGTCTAATTGTTTATCTAAGTGACGTAATTGAAGTGTAATGCAATCTATCTTAATTTTGATCTCCCATACTCTCTCTCCCCTTATCTATTTGAACATGACCTGGAAAACATTCGCACCTGTCTTTCTGCATGACCAATTGAATGTAGTTTGTTTATTTACCAGTCTTATATCTCCCAATGTAATTTCAAAAGTATATATATCCATGTATGTAGAGTATTCAGCTGACGAGTTCTACCGAAGTTTGGTGAATTCATAAAATTTTGCTTTATTAACCTTTATTGCTTGTTTTAAATTCGTATCGGGAAACAAATGTTTTCAACATTCTATTTTTATAGGCGAGAATGACAATGAATTCTATCTCTTGCCAGGTGACGATAAAATAAAGCTAATGGCCAAATCGGGAAAGCAAGGCAAGCTTTCATCTCTCTCAAGTCTGTGTGGAGATTAGCAGCATTCAGAATGAAAATGAAAATGAGATCCGGATTTTCAACTCCAATGTGATGTTAGGTAGTGCTACTTACTATTTACGGATTAGAGAATTGGCCAGCGCGTCATGAAGAGCATTTCAGACAAACTACAGACCTTCATCAACAGCTGTTTTCGCTCAATACCACTCAAGATCAGGTGGCCGTCCAGAAACGATCAGCAACAGGGAAGGATCTCTGGGAGCGTACTAACCCAGCAGGAACCAATTGTGTAGCAAATATGTATGAAGAAATGGAGGTGGATTGGTCATACTCTGAGAAAACAAGCCATCACCAAGTGACATCACACGCCAAGTCATTGCTCGAGTGGAACCCAAATGGGAAGTGGAGAGTTGGTCGTCAATTAGAGAGTGACATGGAGGAGGAAGTCAAGTGAAGAGGAGATGAAAGCATGTGAGTAAACGTGGAGCCAAGTGAAGACGTTGGCAGAGATTCGAACGCACTGGAGACGTGCGGCTGAAGCCCTATGTTCCTCTAGGAACTAAGGGAAACAATGGTCATAATAATGGCGAAACGATGTCATGTGTAGGTACCTGTCCGCATACTCGACTTGATGTCACACATCATTCATGACTTCTCACGATAACTCTGATAATCGTTTCCTGTAATCAGCAGCCAATGAGCAGTGGGTTAGTTTTAGAATAAGGATTCGGTTGATTTCCAATTTAATTTCACGATGAGCTGATATCACTTACGAATCATCCTGTGGGGATTGATGTAGATTGTCAGCTTTGTCAGTGGATAGTTATTTATTCAATCAATAGGGCAATAAGTGCCTTCTTGACATCCACTTTATATGAAGGTCACTGAGTTTTTGTGAACATTTAGACTCGATAACACTTGGGTCAGTCAATTTTGTTCAACTAAATACATCATCACTCAGAAGTTTCAGTTACCATTGAGTTTTTGTGATGTTTGTGGACAGAGTTTTTGGTTCCACTTTTTTGAGAATACTGTACTGGATTCTAAGTCCTTGTTTTGTACTTGGAACTTTTGGTTAAAACTGAATAGCTGCCTAACGGCACTGTTGAGTTAATTCTGAGTTTTTTTATGTTATTATTGTTTAACAGAACAGCGGATGTATTAGAGAATAATCCGTCTTTTCTTTGTTTTTGGAGCGTCTTTTGACTGTGTGTCTCTCAAGGAAGTTTCCAACAGTTATACAGTAGCATGCAAGGTTCAATTCCCTAAGTTCACACCCGAACAATTCAGGTTTGGTTGTAACACACACCAGCGCTGGAAATCTACAGGAAGTCACTTCTTTCAGTTACGTGGGCATCCATGAGGATGTTAAAACCTCGACCATAAAAGCGAAACAGATCTTCAGTACTCTGAAATTCGTGTGAAAATTGGCTGTACTTAGCAGGAGTAACAATATCCCGGTTTTCAACATTCATTTCACATCAACGGTTTCATGAAGTTCATGCATTTAGCGTTTGCGCCAAGAAAGCATTCCTTTTATCAACAGATGTCTTCCCTATCACCTGACAAATATGCAAAATTAAATATAGATGAATTCGAAACACAGTGAGGAGACTGCTGACATCATGTACCAGGCTCTCGAGTGGAATCTAAATGGGGAACGATGAGATAGGTGAAGTGAAGGTGTGTAAAGGACATGAAAGCTTACAGGCAAACGTTGATCGAAATGAAGGTGACTTCAGAGGACAAAATGATACCGACATGAGCTGTTGAAGTCCTGATCCCATTGGCAACTCTATGGAATAAAAGAAATAATAATAATACTGAATTCATCGTCGGTGGCACAGCGTTTAGGACGCTCGCCATCCACGCATATGGTCCGGTCGATCCCCTACCGACGTACACCTGATATCAATGGTCGGCCTAATAAAAATTTGGGCTACCGGTATCACATGCTGAAAAGTTTATACTTGTACCAAAAATATGGTGTGAAATCAAGCTATAATCATTTAAAAAAAAATTAACTTACTTGGAATAATCCTTTGTAAAATATGTATGGGTTTTTACGAGTAGCTAAAAAGTAGAGCAGTGCCAGTGTTCCAAGCAAGTGGATAGCCAATCCACTGATAACAGTTATCATATATAAACCTAATGCTGTAGCTGTATCACGCAGATTTTCAATTTCCAACATTTTACCCAGAATTAAAAAGAATATACCGAAGGGTGAATAGCTGAAAATAACAAAGACAATGGGTTAACTGTTTAATTCCTATTGAAAACAAATATTCTATATATATATATATATATATATATATATATATATATATATATATATATCAGGTGTTAATTGCAGAAAGATAAGATCAATAGTGTCTGACGGGATAAATTGCATCAGCTACGATTAACACTACATTGGTCAAAGTGGGCGTCCCCTTCGAATCCAAGTCCAAGAACAAAATTAGCTGTGAAAACAAATGATATGTATTCTTTTATATCGGTTCAAGTGTAGACAATTATGGACACCAGTTTGATTGGGATAATGTAGAAATTTTAAACGGAGGGAACATCAAACGGATGGCCTTGTACTCAAATTAATCAGCGACTGAAATACATATTACTAGGGATCTGATTTACCAACTCATAGAAGATACAGCGAAAATATTCATTCAGAAACTTAGAAAAGAAAAAAATTGAGCAAAGAATATCCTTTTCGATTATTTCCTCTTCTGACTCTCTCTCTCTCTCTCTATGTATATATATATATATATATATATATATATATATATAGAATAACATTCCAGAATAATCGTCATTGCCAATAATGGTGTTTTTAAACACCACCGATTTGTTAAGTAATATCGCAATGGAATTACAGTTCAAGAAAGAGGCATAAATTATAATAATTATAATAATGTAATAGTAAATAGAATACCAACTAAAATTAAGGAAATTTTCTCAACAAATTGGGAATCATTCGAATCTTGATTGTTGAAGTAAAGACAGTGTCTGGACCAACTTATTTTGGATACATACATACTCTAGATTTCTTAATATTGATCTCAGCAGCCAGCGTCAGCAATATAAGTAAATGAACTCTTAAGGTAAAATTAGTCAAGATTAGTTGGTATGCGGTAGATGATTTTGAAAGCTGCTTCGTTAACATCAATCTTGTGTTCTATATCTACAAGATGAGATAAAATAGATCTATGAATGGATTTTGATTCTCCCTTACTTTCCCGCCACGCAGAGTGATGTTCGTAAATCCGACGCTAAACACATCCAATTGTACGCCCTATGTAACTGGCTCCACAGGGGCAGTCAACCTGGTAGATACACATAGAAGAGGCGAAATTAGACGGTTTATCTTTAACTCCCGAACGCAAGAACTGGGATGGTTTTGAAGAGACAGCGTACTTCAGTGGCAGTGAATGCTCTTTTTTTAATGCCGTATTCTTTAGGAGCTGTGTTAATATCTCACTGATGTTATCGCTGAAGAAGTGAAGTTGGCCTGTCGTGACCTTGGACTGATATTCTAATCAATGAATATCTTCTGGGTAACCGTTCTCACTAAGTAACTGTTTAATAATATTTACCTGCTGATTACAAATATTCATCAACCTCATTCAACAGCTGTACGACAACGGCACATGTCAACTGATCCACAACGGAAAACTCAGCGAGGCGTTTGGAGTAAACACAGGAGTCAGACAAGGGTGCCTAATTATCACCATTGATATTCCTAATTGTGGTGGACTGGATTATGCGTCAGACAGTGGAAAACGAGAAGACAGGGATATCCTGGACCAACGTGAAGAACCTAGGAGACCTGGATTTCGCGCGTGGATGATTTATGTTTGATGTCACGCAAAATCGAAGACTTACAAGCGAAAACCGACAAACTCGTCGAAGAAGCAGCAAAGACAGGACTCCAGGTGAACATAGACAAGACCGAGGTTATGAAAATAACCAACCAACAACAACAACAGTAGCAAAATCCAGCGGCAATCACCATCAACGGGAGGGATTTGAAAGAGGTTACTTCATTCACTTCACTTAGCTAGGGAGCATTGTCTCAACTACAGGAGGAACGGACGAGGATGTCAAATCGGGAATCGGGAAGGCGAGAAACACATTCATCAACCTGAAACCAATCTGGAAATCTTCGTCACTCAGCTTGCATCAACAACAAAATTCGGATTTTCAATACAAACGTCAAGTCAGTCAGTTCTTCTATACGGATCAGAAACGTGGCGGGTCACAAAGAATATTTCCAACAGCCTGTTGCAGATATTTATCAACAACTGTCTTCGCTCTATACTCAAGATCAGATGGCCGGAAAGAATCACCAACAAGAAACTATGAGAACAAACAAAACAAGAACCAATCGTTCAGCAAATATGCAGGAGAAAGTGGAGATGGATTGGACACTCACTGAGGAGGCCACTGGGTGATATCGCGCGTCAGGCCAACGCTCGAGTGGAATTCGAAAGGGAAGCGGCGAGTAGGACGTCCAAGTGTGGGTGACATGGAGGAGATCGTGTGAAGAGGAGTTGAAACAGTATGGACTAACATGGATGCAGGTGAAAAGTACAGCAGAAGGCAGAAGCAGCAAGTGGATACGTGGAGTTGAAGCTCTATGCTCCACTAGGAACCCAAAGGGAACAATCACAATAATAATATAACCTGTTGATTAAGACGTTCATCAGATCAGATTTCTCTCGCTCTGTGGACCAAGCATTTAAGCAGACTGCTTTTGTATTTCAACGGCATGAAGCTGAAAAACTGATTGTACTGATCAGTTGATTTTGGTTTTCTATTTACACTTGTTCCTGCTATTGTATCGTCTTCTTTTCTAGTCATAAGGCTGTTTAGGAATGAAATTCTATAGTCTTTTTCTTTAACGATAGTAAAATTTATTCTAGGTTGTATGTCGTTATATCTGTCTGCGATGTTCCTTACTTCATTCTCATTTTTCATAATCAAAAATGTACCATCCATGTACAGACAGTAGAATTCTAGTTCATCAATTACATCTTTCAAAGGCCTTTTCTCTAGCTTCGCAAGGAATGATGATGACTAAAATTCAGCTATGTCCTGTGCACATCAACTTTCTATGTGTTTCTTATTGCAACACCTAAGACAGTCTTCAGAGTACAAAGTTACTTATTTATAATAAAAAGATGATGGAAACCAGTTGAGAAGGAAATTTAGCTTGTATACAAACACCTCAATTTTCGTTTGAACCTCAGCCATATTAATTATTACAATTAACCTGATACAAATTTTTATGTTTGTAGCATTGCTGCTGTTTTCCATGATCTGGTTGGTTTAATAGCCACAGCCATACTATCCAACTAGACAACATTTCCAATGCTAACTTCAGTACGAGTTAAGTGTTTAGAATTCTACAGGAATAAAAGAATGGTCTCTCAAGGTGAACTTGACTGTGTGTCTGCCTGTTAGTAATGATTATTTCGTTGACCTTGCATATGACTTGTTCATTTATTGATTGATTTATCCGGTGTATGATAATATAAGCATCACAGTGAAATCATTCAGCCCAAAATCAAAATATCCTATATAAGTTATGAATCTTCTAAATTTAATTTTACACGTATATAAATAATATATATTGAGGGAAATTAACTCACAGCATTATAATTTGTACCATTCTCATGACAACTTCATTCAGAATAGAAAAGAATTGTACCATTGTCACTGCTTTATCACCCATTTGACCAAGTATTATACCGAAAATAATTGAAAATGATACCAAACCTAAGATTTGAAAAAAAAAACATAGGAAAAGAAAATTTTAACTGTTATTTCGAATTTCTCATTGACCAATTAGTTCTGTCAGACTGCAATCCCCAGTATATTTGGACATATAAGTTCCTAGTGCGGCATTGAACCCAGAATCTTTTGATCGCTAACATTGCAGGGGAACTTTAAACTATAGCGACCCAAGTAAGCGGATGCACTGAACTTGGTCAAGCACCAGATGAGCCCATAGTAAATAAGCGGAGTTTGCAGATTCCATCACGAGGTGTAGCATTTGAGTGCTGCCAGGATAATAGGCTTATGGGAAGCTTGTAGATGTGGACGAGAAATGTCTGTACAGAGGTAGGCATCTGCTATTGATGGACATGTGCACAGATATCTAGGCTATCATTACAGAAAATCTGTCCAAGAAGACATATTATTCCTTTTTTAAGCTAATGGACACATAGAAACACAATATGATGGCCAGAATTACCACATAACACAAAGATCTGTGCAAATGGTGCATTGAGGATAAGTTGTATGTAATTTAGCTATACAGAGATACCAATTTACAAATAAATGGTATACGAGCTCGCCTTTTAACCAGAAGGTCCTGGGTTCGAACCCCGGTTGGTGCGTACTGCTGAAGGGTCCCAAACTAGGGCGAAAAAGCTGTCCAGTACTCGCAGGTTTTCCAATGGTTCTCTAACCAATGTCAGTTCATGATGAAATCCTGTAACCAATCAACCAAATCCCTACAAACCAATACTTGAATTACAAATAAACAATCCTTTAGAATTAAAATGGAGTTATAATACTAAGTGAAACCTGAATGAGAAGCGACGAATTGGGCGTCGCTTCGACAGTGACATGGAAGAGATCGTGTGGAGAGTAGGAGATGAGAGAGAGAGAGAGACTATGGTTAGTCATGAGCCCAGGTGAATAGAACATCAGGAAATAGAACAAGTTAGACATGTGTATTGTTGAACACCTATGTTCCACATGGAACGTAAGGGAAAAACGATAATAATAATAATTATTATTATATGATGTAGCGAATGAATTGTAACAATTTATATCAAATACCACAATAATCCTTTTTTCCTTCTAAACAATCCCCTATAATAATATTATTATTATTGTAAAAAAAGAAAGAGTAATAATCATAATATTTATCTTGTCCATAAAACAGTTCAATGTTTGCTTGATTTCTAGGAAAAATGAACAGTATTCAACGTTCACTTTAACTAATAAATACAGAATAAACTAGAATAATAATAATAATGATAAGACACAACAGAGTTCTATTTCCCTTCATTGTGTTTATTTACGTTAAGAAAAACAGAGGAGGGTAATAATAATTCATTGAATTAATTGGTTAATTGGTATCACACATTTCCCCTTACTCTATTCATCACATTTCCATTCCTAAAAACCTCTTGTCTCTGAACACAAGCAAACAGTCAGGCAGGCAGGCAGTCAAGCAAGCAAGCAGGGATCTTCATCAATCAATCAATCCATCCACCCATCCGTCCATTTATACATTCATTCTGCCATGCAGTCAGTCATGCATTGATAAATGTTTTGTCAATTGTCTTTCTCTTTTGTTTGTTTGTTTTTTATTTTTTCTGTCTTCTCTCATGGAATCATCTCTAATTCACCGAAAAGTTTTGTTTATCCCTAGTGAATATTCAGTAGAGAGAGAATACAGAAGACAGTATTTACTAATTTCTATGTGTTAGACCTTCCCCTTTTGTTGTTATAATTATTGTTGTTGTTGCTGTTGGTGTTGTTTTTGACGTTGTTGGAAATAATGAAAGAGGACAATGGACAATCCACAAAATAGAGTGAAAAAGAGAGAGAGAATAGTAAGGAAGCGGGTAGAAAGAATTCACTCGAGGTAATGTAATTAGTTAGTTAGTTAGTTAGTTAACAAAATAATTAATTCAGAAGATTGATTTGCTTCAAGCATATCTAAACACCTATTAATTACTTTCACATGGGAAAGATGTTGTTACGTAAGAGAACAATGGTCTGCAAAAATCCCTCATGAACGATCTGATCACACTCAACTAATTTAATTCCCACTTTTCTCCTAGACTGTATATCGCTGGTCGTACATTTGAATATCATATGTGGACTTCATCCTTATTGCTTACAATCGTTCCCGTGTAGGGCAACACTAAACAATAGGAACCCAAACTGAAACGACCTACGAACGCACAAACGACCTTGAGAAACCAATCAGGTGACTCTGTTGTTTCTAGAAGTAATTATGGATGCTTTACACCTCTACTGCGATTCCTAATCTCAGTGCTGGTGTATTATTGCCTATTATCCAGCGCTTAGTGCTGCCCGGGACCACAGACGAATGGAATAGTTATGGTCAATTTTCGAATCTCAGGTATATTCATCACGTAGTCAATCACACAGACGGTTTTCACAATCCTTTGGATGTAACTCATACTAACTGCATCGAAAGTTTCTGGAGTCACCTGAAAAAAAGGATTAGATTCGTGAACGGATTAAGAAATCCAATGGTATACAGTTATCTGGATGAGTTTATGTACAGAAGTTGGTTTAACATGAGTATAAAGACTCCTATGAGAAATTGGGAGCTTTTTTACAACATATACAAGAACTTTATCCTTTGTAACTATTTTTTAACATTGCTTTACTTTTATATAAACGACCTTTTACAATTATGCGCCGTTTTTTTGAGCATTCTGATTGGTCGAAGTTGTTCTTAACAAGGTCGTTTGTGCGTTCGTAGGTCGTTTCGGTTTGGATTCCTATTGTGTAGAGTTGCCCTGTGTAGTCAATAATTTTATTACTTTTCATTGTTTATAGGATTTCATCATGAGCTGACATCTATTAGAGAACTAATGAAAAACCTGGGAGTACTGGACAGCTGTTTCGTCTTAATTTGGGACGGGGTTCAAACCCAGGACCATCTGATAACACGGCGAGCTCGTAGACCATTAAGCCACTGGGACCTGATCCAATGGCCAGTCCATGAATTCTAACTTCTGCCAATTCATGGCATAGCATGACCGCTAGCCAATGTCTTCGGGGAGTATTGTAGTTGTGCGATACTTTGATAATGTGTTGTCTTATGATGTGATTTTGTCTTTGAGTGAACCAAGGTGATCCTGACACTGGACTGTCTGGGAGTATTGTTTTCTTGTGTGATCCTTGTGGACAGAGTTATTGATCCCATCTTGTTGGGAATATTCCGTTTGATTCTCAGGTGCTTCATACAGATGGATTTTGGTTAACGAATCTTGTTCTACAGTACTACTTGTTTTGAACTTTGAACGGTCTCTTGACTGTATATCTGCCTAATGGAATTGATGAGGTAAACTTGAGTTTTGGATGTTATTATTGCTGTTGATGTTGAATGGAATCACACATAGATTTATCAAAGACTAGTCGTCTTGTTCGCCGTCTGTGGAGTCTTTTGTTGTTGTGCGTCTCTCAAGGAAGTCCTGGTCAGCTATGCAGTAGGATTCAGAAGTCGGTTTCTTAGGTTCAAACCACAACGATTCGGCTTTGGTCGTTGCATAAGAGGCTTTTGTTAACGAACATGTAAGCCGTAAAAGTGCAGAAAGGCGAAGTAATCCTTAATTATTGTATGAATTCATTCTTAATTTGATTTGACTACTTAAGCGTTTATATTTTGAGCTTGTGATGAAAATGTCCGGTTAAATATCTAGGTCATATACTACTGTTTGACCGAGATCAGTAGTTGCTTACCGCTCATATTAACCAGTAGTGTTTTCTAGCTAACCAGCTACATCAAAGTGATAGCAAATATGGACGGCAGTTTCGCTCGGTTCTGCAGGAGCTCCTCAGTGGTGCATTCGATTGTTCCAGCTCTCCAAGCTGAATCAGTTCAAACTACTATATTTCTGTATGAATGGTGATCAAGATGTGACCGAATACTTCCAGAATAATTGGGAGTCGAATAAGAAGTAGACATGTGTAAAAACTATACTTTTATAATCTCAGAGAAACTGAAATGAAAAATTCAAACATTTCGTTCGTCAAACTAGTCCAAACTTCTTCAGGGAAATTAATCGAAATTAAAATAACACAGGTTTATATATAAAAGGACATCTATTGTTTTTAAAAACTTTGTCCAGTCATATGAGTCATGAAACAGGTATCAAAATATAATAAACAAAACTGTATGAGTTGTGATCGAAATTTGACCTGAGACTTACGAATATTAGTCCACTTTTGTTAAACACTGTAAATAGTGTGTTCTCTTGCATCAGAATTATAGTGATTACATTCGACTAAAGTTCATGGTCGTAGATAACTCATTATGAAAAAAGAATATGTATATTGCAGCATGCACTTGTGTGTGTGTGTGCTGGTGTGTATTGGGAAACAATTGTAAATCATCTGTTAGTCTCTGCTTAAGAAGACATAGACAAACGGGGAATTCACATCGAGTATGATTGATTCGTGATACATAATCCAGTTTCTTATTTATTAATCAGGACTTGCCATGCATCAGCCAGCATCACACCTCATACGTGTTAAAATGTTTTTGTGCAACTAGCACCTTACGCTCATCACTGATGAAGGTTAAGATAAAGTAGAAGATAACAACCAACGGAAGTGTGTGTAACGGATAAATTGTAGAGATTGCGACGCTGTATATATATGAGAAACTTGCAGACAGGTAAATGTAAGAGCAAAGTAGCGTTAAAAATGTCTAACGGTGGTTCCAAGGACCTCTGCAGATTTGAAGAAGCTAGAAAACACGTCGGCAACTGCATTGCAATGCACTCGATAGAAACGCGACTAAGGTTCCATAGACAAGGGTTTTGGTTCATATAAAGAACGACTGTCTGCAGAAGCCTTACATATATGGGTGAATCCCAAGGTTTGAAGAGACATGGTGTGATATTGGCTGATGCATGGCAAGTCCTGATTAATAAATAAGAAACTGGATTATGTATCACGAATCAATCATACTCGATGTGAATTCCCCGTTTGTCTATGTCTTCTTAAGCAGAGACTAACAGATGATTTACAATTGTTTCCCAATACACACCAGCACACACACACACAAGTGCATGCTGCAATATACATATTCTTTTTTCATAATGAGTTATCTACGACCATGAACTTTAGTCGAATGTAATCACTATAATTCTGATGCAAGAGAACACACTATTTACAGTGTTTAACAAAAGTGGACTAATATTCGTAAGTCTCAGGTCAAATTTCGATCACAACTCATACAGTTTTGTTTATTATATTTTGATACCTGTTTCATGACTCATATGACTGGACAAAGTTTTTAAAAACAATAGATGTCCTTTTATATATAAACCTGTGTTATTTTAATTTCGATTAATTTCCCTGAAGAAGTTTGGACTAGTTTGACGAACGAAATGTTTGGATTGTTCATTTCAGTTTCTCTGAGATTATAAAAGTATAATTTTTACACATGTCTATTTCTCACTCGGCTCCCAATTATTCTGGAAGTATTCGGTCACATCTTGATCACCATTCATACAGAAATATAGTAGTTTGAACTGATTCAGCTTGGAGAGCTGGAACAATCGAATACACCACTGATGAGCTCATGCGGAACTGAGTGAAACCGCCGTCCACATTTGCTATCACTTTGTTGTAGCTGGTTAGCTAGCAAACACTACTGGTTGATATGATTGGTAAGCAACTACTCATCTCGGTGAAACAGTAGTATATACTTTTATGTATTTGTGGTTGCTTTCTTGATCACTATGTATGTGATCAAGCAGATTACATATTGAGATCTGAATGATCCCGATTTCCAGGGGGAACTGTGGTGAAATAATCACCTTGTACTGTGTTAGTTGCAAATTAATTTACAAATTGAGAATTCGATTAATGAGTGTTGACGTTTAAGTAAATGTCGATCCACAAGAACGCTACAATATGTAAATTTAGAGAACAGATCATCTGCAGCGTCGTATGCCCGTGGATGAAATATGTAATGTTGGTCAGAGAAAAACGTATATCCTTCAAAGTTCACATAGAGTATGTGAGGCGAAAGTTTACTAACTAACTCTGTATTCATAAATGTCATTATTCCGCCCCACGTAACGCATGCGAAATAATTGACGCAACACAAGTACCACCATAAAAGATACTCAAAATATTCATGACTAGCTGTAGGATTCAGGAGCTTCTTTTCCTTTCACTCGTCATTCATTAGCTGTGAATGTAACCACATCCCCATTGGGAGATGGTGTTCCCAATGAGACTTGGACACAAAACATATCGTTTCAAATGTCCACGTTTTCGAGTCTACTGTTAGACGTCTACAACAAGAAACACGTATCATTTTAGCCAATAAACATTCTTGAAACATCAATATACAGAGCCAACATGTCCTTAGACATCGAATGTTTCAGCCCTATGTAGTCGAGTAATATTACTGAAATTCACAAAAGATTCTTACTGAAAACCAAGAAAACTTCCACAAACCCCATAGGAAGATCAATGACAAGAAATAATAAAAAAACTAACTAAACTTTTCTCACCTAAAACATTTGTACTGTCAACATATTTCGGTTTAACAGCTTCATAGGTGATTGGTTCTATTATGCTTGGAATAATCCCCGTACCATTGGTTGCATTACTGACTCGTACATACTTTGGACGTTTAACAACTGTGACATAAACGCTTTGTTGTTGTTGTAAAGTTGCTTGGACAATATTCTCCGGGAATAGATTTCTGATAAAAATAACAGAAAAGAAAAGAAAAATAATGTGAAGTGGGATATGGTGAAATAGGAGGTCGAATTGATATACGGTTTGATTGGATACTGTTAACTAGTGTCCAATCAAAGTATCCACTGTAGTCCTACACGAGCCCGAATAGCTCAGTGGTGATGTCCTTGACTGCAGCAGTGGGTGACATGGGTTCGAAATTCAGGAGAGAAATGACTGCCTTCAAGGTTGCAGATACGCCTTGCTGACGATAGCCACCTGATAAGAAACCTAGGTCCAACGCTTCCAAATGATTGCTTCCAGCCATTTAATATCGTCAGTTTTACACTTTTTCAATGGTTTATTAATTTTCAAGTGTTAGTTTGTGTAGGGATTTATCCTGTTTCACGTTTGATCGTAGAATGATGTCAGGTAGAAAATGATAGAAAACCAGAGAGTACTGGACAGTTGCTTCATCGGATTCTGGGATTTTTCATCAGTATACACCTACTGAAGTTCGAACACAGTACCTGATGATCTGGCTAAAGTTATGAATTGATAAAAGTTGGAATTTTATAAGCCACTGAATCGGTTATGAATAGCCAAATGGTCTACAGGTTCATCGCATGACTTGAAAGTCCTGTTTTCTAGCCCTGGTGGGTTGGAATTGTTGAAGAGTCTCAAACTAGGACGAAATAGCTGTTCAATACTCCCTGATTTTCAGTATGTTATTATTGTTACTATTATACTCTGTGATTATGAGTACAGCATGAATATAAGTCAGTAAGAAAGAAACAAGACAGTTCCAGGCTACTATGTATGTTGTCTTGTTAAAGCTGTAGCTAACAAACAGTCAAAGATGTTTACAGGACTTCATCATGAGCTGACATCAGTTAGAGAACCATTGGAAAACCTGGGAGTACTGGACAGCTGTTTCGTCCTAGTTTGGGACTCTTCATCAGTACGCACCCACCGGGATTCGAACCCAGGACCTTCTGGTTACAAGGCGAGCTCGTATACCATTAAGCCACTGGGACCCGATCCAATGGTCCATGAATTCTAACTTCTGCCAATTCACGACATAGCGCAACCCCTAGCCAATGTCTTCGGCGAGTATTTGTCCTCACGCCCGACCTGCTGCACCCTACTGGTCACGACTTCTCACTCGAATCCCGGTGGGCGCGTACTGCTGAAGAGTCCCAAACTAGGACGAAACAGCTGTCCTGTACTCCCAGGTTTTCCCATGGTTCTCTAACTGATGTCAGCTCATGATGAAATCCTGTAACCAATCAAATCCCTACAAACCAACACTTGAAAGTCAAAGATGTATTTGCATTCGTAGACAAAATCAAAGATATTAATATCAAGGACAAAGCCATGATATCTTTGGACATAACATGTTTATTCACAAGTAGTAGAAACAGTTAAGAAACAGTTAACTACATATGTGAACAAGTGTATAACCGGTCGATAAATATTGGTATCCCAACGGAACTCCTAAAAGAATTGTTATTAAGGTGTACCGTGAATGTAAATTTCAAATTTGATGCCACACTTTACAGACAAATGGACGGGGTGGCAATGGGCTACCAAGTGAGTTCCATTTTGGCAGATTTCTTTCTAAGTAAACTAGAAAACGGACCTTTGAATAACCTTGTGAGAAAATTCTCATTTTGTTGCCGGTATATGGATTACAACACCTTTATTCTTCGTGGTGATAATGATTCGGATAGGAACACAATAATAACTGAATTCAGTGAAGTACATTCGGCTATGAAATTCACATGCATTCCTAATTGTCCTCCTTACAAGAAAACCATATGGTAGTATAAGGAGAAATTCGCATAGGAAAAGCACATGAACAGGACGATGTACACATTTTCACAACTTCGTTCCTCTCAATTACAAAAGAAATTTAATAAACACCCTCAGCCACAGAGTTAGAGCTATTTGCTCAGAAGAAGTAACTGAAGATGAATTAAGCATTGTATATGATACTTTGATTGAAAATAGCTATCCCGACAAGTTTATCAAGAAACACATGACAAAGAAAGCGGAAAAGGACTAATTACTAACCGTAAACAAGAAGCCTCTTTATATACGACTGCAATTCAAGGGCGATATACCAAGCGAAATAATTACGAAGAAATTAAGAAAATCAGTTCAAAAAACTTTTAATGCTGGCGAACTTCACGTCTTATTCTTGACGCGACCGATGTTGATTCCTCGATTGAAAACTGAAGTACCTAGACTAGCCGCTTCCAATTGTTTCTACTAATTCAACTGCGATTGTGGAGCTAGTTATATCAGCCGTTGCTCTAGGAACTTTATTTTTCGTGCTCTCTCGAGAAAATCTCCCAGTATGACTAAATAAAGGTGTATTAAAAGCCATCAACAGTTTGATATTAGACCACCTCGTCCAAACTGACTGGCCACAAAGCCAGCATTGCTGAATCCTTCTCTATCATCTACAGGATGCCAAATAAATTTCCAAAAACATCTAGGTACCGCATACTCCAAACACCAGAGGCTATCGCAATTCACCTGAAACTACCAGTGCTTTGTGTGCAAAAGAAGTAAGTCCAACCACTACTACTGCCCTGGCCTTCAGTATAGACTATAGATTCATAAATTTGTATTATTATCTTTCTTAATTTTTCTGACATTCAGTTTATTGTTATGTTGATGCTCTCAAACTACAATCTACTGATATTATTGATTCGATGTTATTTAAACAATATTAATGTCCTTAATAACACTAATTCATTCACTATAATGTATACATAACTGCAGAACTCGATGATGAAGAGCAGGTTATCGAAAGGAATATTCTTTTGAAAATTTTAATGGCCATTTTTAATCAGTTAAACCTTATCTGTTTATTTGGAAGAAAAAGCGATGTCAGTTATCTTTCTCTAGCATGCTGAGAAAATTTTTTTACTTCACTTCCCATTTGCCAATCATGGGAAACACCCATCCAGGGTCATTAGAAAGAAAAGAAGAAGTAGCTTAGAAAAAGCAGATTTCTTTTCAGCATTTTCATGCTCAAAAGTTGTACCATCGCTTAGGAGTTATACACGCAAGTGTTCACATAACTGTTATTATTATTACCATCATCTATTTCAACATTAATTTTAAGGAAGGCAGCTTAAAGGTAATAGTGATTTTTTCAACTTGATATGAATGTTTGAAGGTGTGAATAGAGATCAAAAGAGGCCTAGGTTGAGAAAATGATAGCGTAATTATGTATGGAGAGGTTTTTAACAAAGACAGGCTCGAATATGGTGTGTGTAGACACAAATTGAAATGATGTTTGATATAACTTGAATTTGAACAGAATTAAGAGGATGAAAAGATACCAATAACTAAATGGAGCCAAACAGAACTAGATCCATAGTTAATGAAGGCGTTAGATTAGTTTCATGCCAGGTTGACAAGTATTACCTCCTTTAATCTCCCTGCTTTCCTTACAATGTTGGACTGAATAATAATTGTAACTATGTGAACACTTAGGCATACAAATCCGATGGTACATATTTTGAGGATCAAACTGCCCAAGAGATATCTTTATCAGTGTCATTTTGTACTATTTAATCTTTCTCCCTGCGTCCTTATCTATGCTTTCGAGCTCAATATTTGACGTCTACTCAACTTATTATTGTTGTCATTATTTTATTATCATTATTATAGTTTCCTTTAGTTCCTAAAGAAACATAGGGTTTCAGCCGCATGTCTCACGTGCATTCGGTTTTCCGACAACGTTTTCACCATCTGGCTGCACGTCTGCCCACATACTTTCATCTTTTCTTCACATGACCTCTTCCATGTCACCTTCAGACAACCAACTCGTCTATTCCCGTTCGGGTTCCACTCGAGCGATGGCCTGGCGTGTGTTGGATGTCACTTGATGATGGTTTGTTTTCTCAGAGTACGGCCAATCCACTTCCATTTCCTCCTGCATTTTTGTTGAACAATTAGTTCCTGTTGGGTTGGTTTGCTCCCAGAAATCCCTCCCTGTTGCCGATCTTTTATGACCATCTGATCCTGAGTAGTATTGAGCGCAGACAGTTGTTGATGAAAGTGTGTAGTTTGTTCAAAGTGTTCTTCGTTACCTGGTGCCAAATCACTTTCAAATCATCTAAATTTGCTACTCTTACGCAACATGTGCCACTTGTCTTTTCTTATACCTCAAACCACTGTCAAACTTCTGTCCCTGACTGCAGAATATTCATGTACCTTTCCTAATGTGTACACGTGTGGTTATTTTCCTCCAATTCTTCAGGCATATAATTACGTAATAATAATGACTGCCACCTTCTAACTAAAGTACTGAATAAAATATTTCAATATTTGGTATATCGACTCTGAAACCACTTTATGTTGCATGTAGTTGACGAGAAGCATTATCACGCCTCTGGTCCCTAGTTCAGGTAAAGACTGAAGTCTAGCAGTCAAGTTTTCAAGGTGATTATTAAGCTAGGTCACTAGATATCGCAGTTTATCAGGAAGTACTAGATAGCTATGTCGTCCTAGTTTGAGAGTCCTCAGAGTTATGTACCCACCACCAGGGTTCGAAGGCGGGACTTTCCAGTTACAAAGAGAACCTGAAGAACATCCAGACATTGGGAGCCGATCCAATGGCCCATAAGTTCAAACTTCTACCAATTAGCAATATATATATATATATATATATATAGGGAGAGAGAGAGAGATAGAGCAATTGCCAGCCAGTACCATAGGTGAGTGGTTCTTCTCTTACCTGAGTTGGTGAGCACTGCTGAATACAACTTTTCAGAAATAATTTGAAATCAAGGAGCATTTGGTGGCTTTTTCTATACTAGTCCTTTTCTTCACAGTGACATCTAGCTATGAATACAACTCATACAAAATTCGTGAAAGACATATAATGTAGTGAGCGGATTACCATCCTCCTGACTGTTGATTTCCAGCTTCTTACACTTCATTTAGTAGTGTAGTGGTGGGAGCTGTCTGCTAGCCAAAATTGTAGACGACAATTTACGTCAA